CACTTATACCAATGTCACCTTCATTATATACCTATGGTTTATACCACGAATGAATTTGAATATTTAAGTGGCATTCAATAAAGGAAATATACTTTATTCATTCGTTCATTTCAATCATGCATTCGTTCAGAGACGTAAAAAAACAATTTAATCTATGACCATAATTATGCGGACCGTGCCCAGAAAGCTATATTTTGCCTTAGATAAATTGTGGAGCAATAAAGGCTATAAACTCCAGCTGTTCATCAGCGCTTGGAAATTTTGGAAAACAACCCCTATTCAGTGCAGACTTGCAAGAAATCGTATCTAGTCGTAAATATTTTTATAACACGAAGTAATGAGATGAACAAGTCGGCCACTCAAAACTTTAGATGACAAACATCTGAGGGGCACTACCACTGCAGCCGGCACCCTGAGACATAAGTTGACAAGTCCAATGCGCCTATAATTTCTTACCCTTATCCATCAAAACTGGAGCGCAGTAACGCTCACATTACTGCTTTGTGGAAGAAATAGAAGCTGGCAGTAATTCTCTGGAAGAACTTTTTCACAAGAAGCTCTACTGCTACTAAATTCAAGGCCTCTAATGAAAAGACGAAAGAAAAAGAAAACTGACGATCATCTCTATTATACTATACCGTTTTTTATATCTATGAAAGTCAAAACTGCCTCCGTGGCCGAACGGTTACCATGCCGGACTGCCACGCAGAGGTCCCAGGTTCGATTCCCGGGCCGGGAGAAATATTTGTATGGCCTACATTTATTTCTCTCGTGAGTTTGGGTGTAATTTGTGGTTGTCTATGTGTGTGTCCATGGCACCCGCGGCACAGGGTTTCCCTAGTGCGGGGCTATGTTGAGTGTGAGCGTTAAAAAAAAAAAAAAAAAAAAAGGTCCACAGATAATTGATTTTGTCGTGCCAATAGATAACCATATTTAAGACAAGTTGTTTGGTATTTCGTAATAAACATTTTCTATCTTTAGATTCTTTTGCCTTTTAAAAGTTTGCTTAAAACCGAATAGTAAAAGCATTGTGTTATGCAATCAGTACAATGCCTAGTGTAATCCAACTATGTCTGCCAGCCGGTTGTTATAAACAATGCCAGTCCAGAATGTAAAAATTGCGCTATACAAAGGATAAATATACAATATTATTATGATTTATATGATTTAACGCGGTATTGTTGTAGTGTCTTACATAAATCACACAAACTACAAGAAATGAATAACGAAAGAGTGAACGCTCTTCCCGATATACACATAATGGCTGATTTACATTGCACCAGTTGCAGGAGATGTAGTGGCAAATTTGGCAATAAATTATGCTCATTGCCAATTCTATAAATATGGACTCAGTTACTGAACTAACAGCACCTAGTGTACATTAAAATCACATGTTGTTACAACGGCCTCGGGGCGGAGGACCAATTTGGAAGATGGATATTTCTGATTTTGGAAGGGAATTTCTTTCCTCTGGTACTCATAGTACTGGGAATATCGTAGTATGAGACTAGACAATTTATGTGGCTATCTGACGCGTGTGTATTCGCCACATCCATTTAAACCCTTCGTTTGTTTTGCGAATTTAAGGGACCAGGGTTTTAGTAAAGCAAAGAGGTTCCCTTTAAATTATACCGAAATTCGTTTTTACTTGTCCCTTTTCTTTTTCTATAAATACACAGTTAATGCGTTGTTTTTTTAAGTCCCTCTACTTTGTGATAATGGCCTCATCACTTAGCGTGGTACGTTCAGCGATCGGTGCTTGTTTTATTGGCCCTAATTGAAAGAAGGCCGATACATGTCTAATATTGATAATTCATCAGCACTTGTTTCGTAAAATGATATGACCTACAAGCGTTGCATTGCATTGTCGATTTGTTAATTTGTTTTTCATGTCACATCTAGTATAGTGTTGACAAAACTATTTTTAATGGTAACTAGTAAGTACATCGATTCGAACGACGTGAGATTGGCTTACCTAGGCTTTTAACGAATAGGATTACTGGATTAAGCTAGCCAGACTATTAAGATAGGACGAATAATCCGTGCGCCTGGTGGTAGGGGATACGACTATAGAATAATCGGGGGATTTGCTATTGCACCCGCCACCCTGAGACAAGTTGACAAGCTCACGTGCCTGTAGTTTCACCAGCACTGCAGGGTACACCGCGAACTAAGCTAACTGAGCTATCTAACCCAACAATCCCGCGGAGCTAAGTAATAATGACGCCCTTCTGCCGCTTTTCCCCCGCACGTATCCATAATGTAGCACGTCATTATTTACTGCGTATTTTCGTAACTTAGCTAGTGTTAGCGGCCCCATCTACCAACACCAGCGCTACACCTATTGCAGGCTCTTAAACTATATAAGAGGTGTTCTGTCTTAAGTTGATGAATATTTAAGCTTTATTGAATTGATTAAATTATTTTTATGTGAAATTCCTCCACTAGTTTGTTATAATTATTAATAACATTCCTTGTACTAATAAATTATTAAATCAATTCAATAAAATTTAAATACAATGAATAACGACATCTCTAGCCGGGGCTGGTAGCTGTAAAGGTGTCTAACTGGGTGACGAAATATAATAGATTTCTCATAGATGGCGCTACAGCTAAAAATTAATTGAAAAACCAAATACAAAGATACGGCGCAAGCACATAGGAAAATTCGTAAGGTCCGCTGGCTCGTTCCGTGGCTTAGTTGGTATAGCGTTTGGCACGGTATGCTACAAGACGTCAGTTCGAATCCAGCCGGATCGAAGAAATTTTTGAGTTTTGAGTTTAGCTTGGTTCACGGCACACCGTCAAGACACAGCTTGCGCTTTGCATTTCTAAATCGTAACGCAGTAACGTGAGATTTTCTTCTTGGTGCTAGAAATAGGCCAGGTTATTAGGTGATGTGTTAGGTAAATATTGACTTACATAGTCGGCTTTAAAAGCTTTTTATTTTAAATAAATGAAATGCATATGAAATGATTATATAAATTGTTATGTAGAAATACAATACGCTGAAACTTCATATTTCTGAAGGCAAATTAAATTTAGAGAAAGTTTAAAGGTTAATTCACATGTTTTACAAATGTTCAGCAGTTATCTCAAGTTACTGCCCTTCAGGTTCAATAAAGACTAGCAACTAGTTAGGCTGTTAACTTTTGGGAAAGGGCAAGGGACCTGAAGGGATTGTGCAAAGTCCAACGCCCGATCTATCAGAGGCTTCTACAATAAAGCTTCGTGTTTATATAATCCTAAATAATCCGGATTAACCACGGGAAATAGAATATTTGAGTCGGTTTTACCGTGTCTATGTATCCATGGTATACAAGGAAGTTATCGTGATAGATATTAGTGCTAACACACTTGAGTCAATGAACTTAACTAGAGTTAGAATTAACAACGGTCATTGACAGTTAGTAATACTTCACGTGAATAAACATTACTATTATGTTTATTAACATTATAAGCCATGAACAATGAATTCGGATATTGCTTTAGAATTTAGGTACTGAAGGGGTTTAATAATATATAATCATCTTGGGATAGCGTCGCGGATTATGGCCTAAAACCCTTGCCTGAGGAGAGAATCGTGTCCAGCAGTGGGATATATGGGTTGATGATGATACCTATGATTAAATCTGGTGAATTCTGTTGCTCTGGTACTCATAGTACAGGAATTCCTTACCTTGAGGTCAGGTAGTTAATATGGTTGTGTAGTACATTAGTATTGTTATTGTTTGGGATTGGTGGATTATGTCCATTATATTTAATCTTTTTAATCGTAATCAAAGCTTTATGATTGCATCCTTATCTTAACAATAATCATTAGTATACTCAAAAAATTGATTTCTCACAGATGGGATTTTTCTGGGTGTTCGATTTTCGTATTGACAAATTCAAATTCAAATTCAAATTCAAATTCAAAATAATCTTTATTTCATAGGTAAGCATTATTACACTTGAAATCGTCACAATGGTTAAACTCTACCGCTCATTCGTAAGGCAGATTCCCCTGAGAAGAATGAGCAAGAAACTCTAGGGGTTGCTCTTTGTAAATAACATTTGCAATATTTTTTTATTTGAAACATCAGATTGAGACTACCTCCATGAGCTAAACGGGTTACTACCACGGATTTTTGTCATCCAAGTACGCAGAAGTTGTATAATAACCTTTAGTATAAAGTTTTTGTTTCACTATAGTTTTAAACCTCGTGAAAGGCAAATTTTGTATATCAACCGGAATCTTGTTATAGAAGCGTATACATTGCCCCTTAAATGATTGTTTGACTTTGTGAAGACGACTATCAAGAAAAGCTAGTTTATTTTTATTCCTCGTATTAATGTTATGTCTGTCACTATTTTTCATAAAGAAATTACTATTCCTTTTAACATAAATTATATTTTCATAAATGTATTGTGAGGCTAGTGTAAGAATGTTAATTTCCTTAAACTTATCTCTCAAAGATACTTTGGGACCCAAATTGTAAATTGCCCTAACTGCACGTTTCTGCAGGACAAAGATTCTATTGATATCGGCGGCATTATAACAAACAAGTGGATGCTGCCGTTGGCTAACTAAAGAAGTCGCTAAGCAACAAAATATATTTTTGAGATTATAATAAAAACCATAACCCAGTTTTAGAATACTGAAATTGTTTAATGATACTTCAGCTATGCGTCGTTAGGGTAAGTTCTGATAAGTAGAACACGTTAACTAATTTGAACTGTTTTTAAAAGAGATCTTCTTGCTCTATCTTTTGCTATTTAAAACGGATATTTGACCGTTTGTCTCTTAGCCGCGTTTTAGTTAGTGGACGGCAGAATTAATGTCATGGTGACACCGTGACATTCAATAAGAACTTAAAAATTGGTGAAATTACAGCCACATGGGATTTGTCAACTTATGTGTCAGGGCGACAGGCGCAGTGGCAGTGCCCATCAGATCTTGTGGTACTGCAACTGTAATGAACATGCGTGTAGATTAACATTTGTTTCCATTGTTCCAGGCCTTCAAACTCTTCAAGAGGAACAAAAGCCGAAAGTCGTCTCGCAACCGCGTGTCTCCAGAGCTCATACGATCACCATCATACAGCGGTACAGTGGACGCCAGTTCCGAAATAGACCTGCAACGATTCTGCCCTTGCCGAGCCTCAATGCCTCCATTACACATCTCGTCAGACTCATACGAAAACAACTCCTACTACTCTAGTTATAACAGCTATGACAGCTCAAGGCACGAGAGTTTCGATGGCTGTAACTCTGATGCCACCAGGACGGATTCGGCGTATAACTCTGCTAGAAGCAGCCCTGCGTATCAAAATTCTGTCTGCTATGCAACAGTGACGTATTTTAACGTGAATGACAGCGAGGACTCTAGCAGTATTAAAACAGAGTTCACTCTCTTGGATGAAGGTGACATTGATGAAGATGAAAAAGCGCAAAATTTGATAAATGAAAGCATCGAGCTGACAAGCACGTTATGAATCTTTTATGGATTGTTGGAGTTACACTTTATACGGAGTTTTGGTTTAGTAAAATTCCAAGATGTCAATTTTATGGACAGCGAAGTTCGTAAAACAAATGACAAATTTCCTTTAACCAACATGAATTGAAAAGTTTGGATACATATAGAGGATACCGGTAAAAAAATGAGCAAAACTGCCGCTTCGAGAAACAATGCAGACATGATGGATGAATCTCTATAAAAAGAACAATCATTTGAATAACGCAAGGAACCCAATTTGTTAAGAAGTTGTTTCAATTCAACGAGATTGGACTGCGACGTTCTCGTAGCAATAGCTACAAGGTGACACCGTATTGCAATCACACACTTAAGTGTGAGTTATTCCATCGCAGCGACGGGTTTTGTCGGTATATGTGTATAAAAACCTGTAGATAATAAAATAATATAAAATATTTACCCGGCTACCAAAGTTTGTGATAGAGTCGTACAGCTGTTTGCCAAATAATAATAATATTTTTGTAATTAGTTAAAATGATCTCATAGATTTTATTTGGTGTTAGTTGATAATGACGTATTTTATGTAATTACGAAAAATAATTATAAAACAATTACTATAGAAATTTTGTTTCCTTTTTGCGCCCGAACGATCCCACAACTTTAACCACAAACTAAAGTCGTCACAAATTATGAGCTTAGAGGATGGAAAAAAATAAAAGAACGCAGGTGCCCTAACTACGTAATGAACATGCATACCTAAACAAAAATTGAACGAACAAATGGCGGATTTCTTTAGTGTCGTACCATAATCTATCGATAAGTCATTATCGATGTGCAAACATTTAATTAAAGTAGATCAATATTCCATTTGAGAATATTTTAGGTTATATGGGAATATCCGGGAATGTCACATGAAATTTTGAATTTATTGTTTTGCGTTTACAAATACTCAAATATTACGAAAAGTGAATTAGCACAGAAAAAATGTAATTTGAGAGTATATAAGAAAGAGAAAACTTTGAAATATAACTCCTATACATTTCCAACCTCAAGATTCATATTTTCATAGAGAAACTTTTAAACAGATTCCAAATAGTGTAAGCTTTTTTGTATTTATGCATTGGTATAGAATTAATATCAGTGACTGATTTAAGTGAATCTTGAATACTTCCATTTAATTTTGGAAATAAATGAAAGTAGTAATATTATCAACATTAATATTATTATCATACGTTTATTTGCTTAAAACATGGTATAACAGGAGATGTATCAAGAGACAGCGCTAGTATAAACATGTTTCGCATATATTAAATAGCATGCAAATGTCTGATTATACAATGTCAATTGACTACTATTGGCCGAGCGTCTTTGATTTGTACAGAAAAATCAACACTTCTCCGAAGTTAGACAAATAGTCACGAGCGACTGCAAGTTGTGACAGCCACGTCAAACGAACACGTTAGCGCTCGCCTTCACTCGGCCAGCTAGGCGAGTGACACCAAACGATGGCAAGACAAGGCAAGGTAAATAGGCTATCTATACGTTGGTAATAGCCTTCACCGGCAACATTAGACCAACGGGGTCTTTGTATTGCTGGCTTTATAAAATAGGATTTTTTAGTACTTAGAGTTGTCAGTGGGAAAGATAGGAAACGAGTGGATAATTTTGTTTTCAGGAACTGAGAATGCCTAGTAAATGAGTCTTGTTTAATCTAAATTTAATATAAAAATATTTACCAATAAACCTAATGATGGAATTGCATTGTCATATAATCTAGTTACATTCAAAGTTATGTTAAAATTTGACTCTTCAAAATGAAGCGAATAAATGAAAATGGTCTTTGATTCAATGTTTATATTCGGCACTAATATACGGCGTTATGATTTCTAACCATTATTTTTTCTTTTTTGATTTGTAGGTAAACTTGAAATAGTAAAAAGAATAATAATAAAATAATAAAGACCTCGTAGTGAATTATTTTAATAACAGAATGTCGATAATATGTACGCTTCCAAGAAGAACACTATCTCAAAAAGAATCGTTGACAACAATCATCAAAATATACAACACACGGGCAATCTGAAGAAACCAAAGCAAAATTTGGCAAGATTTCTGAATAAACTACTTAAATATGTCTAATTACATGAAATATTTGGACTTTTGTGTGATTTATAGACAAATAAATAACACGTGCCCGCACAATGTTACATTAGGTCGATCTTCGCTTTTTCAAATGCCACATCCCGTAATGCTGCAGCGACGAATTTTCATTAATACTTAATTCTTGTCACTGTCAATACTTTTGTCCATTTTATTACAATACAAGCGAATAATTCAGTAAAACACTTGGAAAAACATTTGTTTTGACATTTGATGTACTTCCCTTTGACAGTCGTATCATGTACCTCGTGTACTGCGGAATGGACACGGTTGGCATTTAAGATGACGTTACGTATTTTCGATTCCCATGTTTGACACATACCAGTGTAATGCTATCTCTTTTGGCTTAAGACGGCACGCAATAGTTAAACAAAGACAATAATATAAACATGTTTTTAACGTCGAAACGCATCATATACATATAACGTCTGATTTATATATTATGTCAACGTAACATGTCCTTTAGTTTCCATAGTCTAAGATTATGAGGCACGTTTTGACACTTGTCATCGGGACGTAAATAGGGGTGTGGACTAAACGTATCGATAACCATACTAGACGATTCCCATGAGAAATGGATTCGAAATGTTCTGAGTCTGTGATCGTTTAGATTATTTTTTGGTTTTTCTCTTTAGTTTTCAGTTCTAGTTAGAATAATTAACGTTTATTTAAACAATATAGAGTTTAATATAAATAATACGTAAGTATTCAAATGATTACAATGACAACCTGTAGTAGTTGTTGTAGTGTAGTTACATTAACAGAATTCACGAGGACAATCTGTAGTTAAATGGTAAACTTCTGAAGAAAAACAAAAAAGACTACATACTTAGTTTAATTTTTTATTCACTTTGATCGCACGATGAACCATAATCCTTATGCTGGTTGAACGATGATGTCTTGTGATGATGATTGTATGATGATTTGTCCATTTTTTCCAAAAAAAGTGCAACAAACGTGTAACAAAAGTATAGGTAGCTATTTTCAATATAAAACTTACACTGATTATTTGTTTTGCAAATAATTTTGTTGAATGTCAATATTTTTCATTTGACAACGTCTTTCAGGAAAGTTAATGATGAACTTTCGAAGTTTCCATTAAAGCTGTAACAACGTTAGCTGGATCTTCTATCTCCGGCCGTCATCTTAATTTGATAAGTTTTCAAACGACACTCCAATTTTATGTTACCGTGATTGTCACTAAGTACTCGTATTATCCATATTTTTATATTTTCATTTGAACTCACAGAGCTCCCTTTACTTTTGAACCAAAATTTTATTGTTTATGGCACGCGCTAGTTCTGTACACAGAATTGGACTGAGTTTCAAAAAAAGAATGTGGTGTTTTTGCTAATTAAAATATCAAATATGACGCTACTCAAAAGCTCTACTGCCTCCTAATTGGTTAAAATATAAGCGGTATTTGGCCAATCACGGGCCATTCTATTGTATCTCTTTGGTTTCTTTGTAGCGTTTGTTTGGCTCTGAAATAATGTTAAAACCAAACAGTTTAAAAATAAAAACTTTCAAGTTTTAAATGAGAACAGCTTAATGACGTCATTTCTTCGTGGCATCCAAAAGGCGCTCAGCATTTATTCCGCGGTTATCTACGACAAAGGTAAATACCTCACTTAACAAAGTAAGTTAAAGGAGAGACGGTACTCGCTTTCTCAGGCAGTCTACTGGCTTTAATTTTGTTTTAACGAGAAATTTATTGGGATGAACAAATCGTGCGCCGGGTGGTAAGTGACACGTCTCCCCATAACAGTTACTGTGCCACTCAGAGCTTTAAACATCAAAGATCTGAGGCCTGCCAATGCGCCCGTGACCCTAACACGTAAAGGAGCTCTACTGCTACTAAATGTGTGTGTGTGTGCGTGTAAATCAAAACAGACAAACCGACAAGACAGGTATCGAAAGTATGTAAAATAACAATTACAGTAATGATTGAAGAATTGGTCTAACACAAGTTCATAAATTATTAACTGCAATGTTCTGCCGCCGTTATTTGAAAGGGCGCATGTGACATTTCAAAAAGAATATTAGTACAGGTATTGCCGTGATCAGTAAAAATAGGCCGAACTGTCATATATGTATGTCATATGTATATGCAATACATAGATAGATAAACGCTTTATTGCTCACAAACCAGGACAAAACCAAACAACTTAAAAGTAATGCGGTCAAGGGCGATCGCTAAGAGCGATCTCTTCCAGACAACCTTGGAGGTAGAGAAAGCTAATCGGAGCAGGAAACATAGTGCACCAATTTTACAAACAAAAATAAAAATGAATTGTATTAAAATAAAAAATATAGAAACAGTAATTTCTAAAATACACATCAAAAGTGTCTAGGGATGAAGTGAATATTTTTGAAATAAAAATTATTTAAGCAATATTTACCAAATCCAGTCTTCCAGGACGACTTCTTACTTTAATGCTTATGTTTTATTTAACCGCTTACCCCTGTATTTAATTAAAATAAACTAAAATTGATGTTTTTGCAAATTGTGGGAAAAAACTCAAATTAACGGCGTCAATTAAATGACAAATAAATGGCGAAAATGATGATTTTGCTCATTTTTATTGTAAAGATAAGAAAATTAATAATCTGTATTTCCACCATTAACACGAATCACACAATTACAGCGATTTGGCATGCTTAAGATGAGTTCATCAAAATCACTTTGAGGAATGGCCGCCCATGTGTTTTGTAACGAGTCAAAATATTGTTGTAGAGTATGTACGGTATGCATACTCGGCACAGCTCTTCTTTGAAGCATATCCCATGCGTGCTCAATTGGATTGAGGTCTGGCGATTGAGCAGACCACGGCAGAACGTTGATACGAGCTTCGGCAAGAATGCGTGTTACGACTCTGGCCGTGTGTGGACGTGCGTTGTCATGTATTAGTTGAAATGAATCACCCAACTGGCCTCGCAAAGGGATGATAACATCTGAAACAATCCTCTCTGCGTAAACTTGAGCATTGAGGTTACCCCTGATCCAAATGAGATCGGTTCTTCCGCCGATCCAAATACCGGCCCATATCATTATTGTTCCCCCACCATATGGATGAACTTCCTGACAATATCTCAAACGTTCATGACGTCCAGATGTTCTCCAAACTCGAGTACGTCTTGTATCCGGTCTCATACCGAAGCGGGATTCATCCGAAAAGCACACATAGCGCCAGTCTTCTTCCTCCCAGTTTCTGTGTTCGCGAGCCCATCGTAAACGGGTCCTGCGTTTGCAGGGTGCAATAGGTGGAACTCTGAGCGGCCTTCGGGATCGCAGACCCACTTCA